TGTGTGTGTGTGTGTGTGTGTGTGTGTGTGTGTGTGTGTGTGTGTGTGTGTGTACTTGGTAATTATAATTAATATTTGTGTATATGAATATAAATGTTGACTAATTTGTAGAATTCAATTTAGAATTGAATTTCATGAATGAGTTACACATTTTTATTTTAAAATGTTGACTAATTTATAGAATTCAATTTAGAATTGAATTCCATAAATGAGTTACATGTTTTTATTTTAAAATATTGACTAAGTTGTAGAATTCAATTTAGAATTGAATTCCATAAATGAATTACATGTGTTTTTTTATATTTATCATAAGACATGTGATTTGTATTTTCCAATAGAAATTATGTATATATATGTGTGTGAGTTCTAATTAAGAATTAGGGATATATAGATCTTATACATATTGTAAAGTCATGTAAAAACCAAGAGAGTTATTCTTGAGAAGAAAATTGTCTTGAGAAAGTAATAGTGCAATACAAAACCAAGATAGAAAATACTAGTACAAGAAAATTATTTCTTGTTCTTCTAACTTTGAGTTGAGATGTATTGAGAAAAATTTCAACACAATATTTTCATTCAATTTGTTCGCGAGATTTCATTGATCAAAGAGTTGATAGCAAGGATCAGTTTCGGTGTGGATACGTATAGAGTCTTCGCACTATCGAAGAAATTTAAAATGAGACTCTCTTCACCAGGTACGTCTTAGATCCGATTTTTGACATGTAAATAAATTTTAAACACAAAACGTTTTGCCTAGGATTGTTATTGTCTTTCGCTGCGTGTTATGAACACCGGTATGCAATCCTACAAAAAGTACGTAAGAAAGTCTACCTATGTATGAAAGGAGCTCTCAGAAAGTGCTATACAAAAAATGACATAGGTTCAGTAACAAATTTTCTTCCTTCCTTGTGTCTAAATGTAGGCATTTGTATCTTATCCATTAGATATGGGCATGTAGCTTGATTGGGAAGATCCTTCCAATTACAAAAGATAGAATTTCCATGAATGATGCTCCATTTAGCCAATGCATCTGCTACTTGATTAGCTTCACGATAGCAATGCTGGATGGAAAACTCGCAAAATTGCAAGAGTTGTAGAATATCCTTAATTGCATCCTGCATTTGCCAAGATGGACCGTATATGCCTTTTAACATATTAACCAAGATCAAAGAGTCACATTCTAAAATTACATTGTGATATCCCTGGTCGATGCACCATTTAACTCCAATCAATATTGCTTTAGCCTCAGCTAAGTTACTACTACCCCTTCTCAGTGGTTGTGCAAATGCCATAATCAAAACACCATTAGAGTTTCTAATGATGCCCCCTGATCCAATATTCCTTTCTCCATCCCTACTACCATCTGTGTTAAGCTTAAACCAGTTTGCAACTGGTTTAATCCATCTAATAATAGTAGTTTCAACAGTAGGAACAAGCGCACAAATTTGATAGCAAATGACATCCCATTGGTTGCCTCAATCCTTCTTCGGATTCTTTGCAATAGACCATCTAAGATGTGAGAGTATTTGATGGAATATTCTAGCCACATAAACTCTAGAAGACCCATATATGACTACACGTCTCGCCTTCCATATCTCCCAACAAATAACTATAGGAGTAATCCTTAGAATCTCCTGATGAATAAAATTTTTGGGCTTCATTGACCACCATCTTAAAATCATTATAAATTCTAGTTTGATACATGTATACGGTCGAAATAGATTTCAGCCTTGGCATGTCCGGTATGGTTCGAAGGGTGGTGTATCGAAGTAAGATCCCGAAGGGGGCACGAACTAACCTCGAACCCGGGGAGACCGGTCCGTGTCGAGATCGATATCATAATCAAACTCGAACAATAATCAAACCATGACGCAGGTAGATCTATCGTGCTGATAATCCAAAAACCAACCTACATTGACCTGGAATCAATTCGAGGGCTCGAACCAGGATCGGGCTCGAACCAAGATCACAAGTTTGAGCCGAAATCAAGATCGAACCAAAATCGAGGATTCTAAGCAAGGTCGAGCTCGCAGACAAAAGCCGCTGCAATCCCACTAGAAGAAATCTTGGCAGAAATTATGGAAAAGCTGATTTATCATGAGTCTCCCACTGAATGTTTATTTTATTATGCTTGGAGCCGAATCCCTCCACTATAAAAGGGCTTGGTTATCATTTCTATAAGGGACATATATTTTTTCTGAGATTTACATTATAATGAAAGTATTATTTCCTCTACAAGAAAGAGTGGCTATTCCAGTTTTTTAGATTGATTCTATTTGTTCAATCCCAAGGTTCACTGTTCTTGATTGCCTTGTCTAGATTACATTCCCTCCAATCTATATTCACATTTTATTTATCCTTGCATTTTGTATTAAGTTGCACCATATATCTTCGGAACTGCGTATAAATTCAACTTTATCCATTTTTCGGGTAAACAGTTTGGCGCCCAC